GCAGAGGGGCGGGCTATAAATAAACATTTATTATTATTATTATTATTAACAAACCATGGAGTAGTTTGTTGCCAACTGGCTTATTATGGCCTGATGTGGCTTGTTAATCAGATACCAACCAGTCTGAATCAGATTTCTGTTGGCTTCTGGCTTGTTGAAACCATAGCTTGTTGAGACTTTCAAACCTGTGCTTGTAGATTGTCTTAGGCAATCTTACCTGTTGAAATAGAACCTGTTTGTGTGCAACATTTAATTTGTGTGCAAAATTTATTTCATTGTATATTTTAATCTCAATGAAATGGCAAAGCTCATTTTTTGTTTTGTTTTGTTTTAAAGTATGTTTTATGGGTGGGAAAGACCCCAAGGAATGGATAAAAAGAGCAGGAGAGAAGCAAACCAGAATGCGGATGACATGTCATGATTTCTTTTGATATCTGGCAAGCAATTCATGGTTTAAGTCTGTGTTGGTGAATGCATGGCATGTGTGCCATCTGTGGCACATGGTGTGATATTGTTGTGCACGTGGTGGCCACAGAAAGGAGGGATGGGGAGGCTTGCCAGATATCAATCAGTATTAATCAGTTTCCGGGCACAGTACAAGGTGTTGGTTTTAACCTTTAAAGCCCTACATGGCTTGGGTCCATCTTATCTTAGGGACCGCCTCTTCCCGTATGACCCCCCCCCCGCGCCCTTCGGTCCTCTGGGAGGAACATGTTACAGCCAATAAAAACTAGGTTGTCTCAGACCTCCCAGAGGACTTTCTCTGCGACCGCTCCCAGACTCTGGAATGGCCTGCTGGAAGAGATCCGTCATATTACCACTCTTGCTGCTTTCAAGAAAGCAGTAAAGACAGATCTCTTTCGGCAGGCCTTCCCGGAATAACTTTCCGGCTTCAGGAGACAACTACAGTGCCTTTTCTCCAGCTGCTCATTTTGTATTATTTATTTATTCTGTTTTTTTACTTTGGAGCATGTTGTTTTAATTCATAATTAGTTTAATATTGTTTTAAGGGGTGGGAGGGTTGGGTGGGCATGTGAATGTTTTTAACTTGTGTATTTTAATTGATGTAACCCGCCCCGATTGCTCCGCAGAGGGGCGGGCTATAAATAAAATGTATTATTATTATTATTATTATTATTATTATTATTATTATTATTATTATTGCACAGTCAGCCCAGTTCCTTGCTGTTCCCCTATTCTCCCATGGAAAACTGAGCCATAACGAGGAGGGGTGAAAGCCCTGACCCTTCCAGCCAGAAGCCCCGCATCAACATGAGGCAAATCCTGGGGGATGCCATTTCCTTCTGCTTCACCTCCGCCTCCCAGACTGGTGTGTGTGTGTGTGTGTGCTGTGTGCCTTTAAGTCATTTTGGAGACCCTCTCCGGGGCTTTTCTGGACAAGTTTCATCAGAGGAGGTTTGCCACTGCTGTTCTCTGAGACTGAGAGAGTGTGGTTTTTGGGGGGTGGGGGTTGTGTGTGCCTTTAAGTCATTTTTGGTGACCCTTTCCTGGGGTTTTCTTGGCAAGTTTTGTCAAAGGAGGCTTGCCATTGCCTTCCCCTGAGGTTGAGGGTGTGTGACTTGTCCAGGGTCACCCACTGGGTTTCATATAGCTGAGAGGGAATTGAACCCTAATCTCCAGAGTAACAATCCAACACCCAAACCAGTACATCACCAGGTAGCTTGTTCGCCTTTCTGGTTAGGCAACCAGATGTCCTCCTTTTCCAGGATACATCCTACGTTTCAACCTTTTGTCCAGGAACTTGATGAAGAAGCATTCATTTCTATGTATATTAAGTGTTTTTAGTTTAAGTTTCATATTAAATTTTTTTTTAGTCCTACATTGTTCTTGAATGCCCTCTATTTTGTGGTGGCTTGTCCTTCTCTGTGGCTAGGGCAATATCTGGTCACCCTGCCTTAAATGCCATTGCAAGAAACAGCAAGGATAACATAGGAATGTCTACATTTGTGTGTTGTGTGGGGCAGTGAGTGCGAACATGCCTAGAAGGCCAGACACCTCATGTCTTATGGCTTGCCAAAGAGGATGCACAATAGATAGAAACTGTTGCCTCTAAAAGGCAGTTGCGCTCTTGTGCCATTTCCCCATGCTCCTTCGTGTGGCATGTGGAGGAGTGATATGTGTGTGTGTGGTTTTTTTTTTTTTTTTTTTTTTTGCCAATGAGGAGTGCAAACAGTGCACAGTGCACAGCACAAAGCTGGAGACATGTGGTAGCCTGGAGCTGAGAGAGTGATCCTTGACTGCGTCTCCCTTGGCTAACTTTAGCTAGCTAAGTTGGGAGCCCAAATGAGCATCATGGCTTCTCTTTGTTGCTAATTCTGACCCATCTAATTTATTTTAATTTTTATTTTAAAGTCCTGCTGAATGAGATGACCAGTTGTTGTCCCAACCAAAAGGAGGACAAGGCACTGCAAAATGTTGGACATTCAAGAAATAATGTAGGACATGATAAAAAAAAGCTAGAAACATTTACTATGAATTCATGCTTCTTAGTGATGCTCCAAATGGAGGACATTCTGAAATTCCTTCTGGGCAGAAGGTTGAAATGTAGTATCTGTCCTGGAAAAGGAGTATGCCTGGCTACCTAAGCACAAAGGAGGACAAGGCCTTGCAAAATGTCAAACATGCAGAAAAAATGTAGGTCATGAGCAAAGGAGGACAAGGCACCACAAAATGTTGGACATTCAAGAAAAATGTTGGACTAAAAAACACTTAATATAAAACTTAAGCTACAAATACTTACTGTATATACTCGACTATAAGTCGACCTCATGTATAAGTTGAAGGCAAGTCTTGGGGCCAAAATTATGGATTTTGATATGACTTGTGGATAAGTTGGGGCTAAAACTTAGGGGCATGCAACAAAGGATGTAAAGAATGAAGTTTATTGTCTTCATACAGAAATGTCTTATTCAGATCCTTCTAAGCCCAATTCTTCTTGGCACTCTTTTGAGGGGAAGCACCAAAGAGGTGCCACCACTGCCATTTTCCCACCCAAGCATTCAAAAAGGCCAGAAGCAGCATCATAATAGAAGTTTGAAATGTAGGACGTACAAATGTAGATTTGTTCAGAGGGGGCTGCCATTGCCTTTTGAGGCTGAGTGAGTGTGATTTGCCCAAGTTTCTGTGGCTTCATGGGGAACTGAACCCTCCCAGAGGACTAGTTCAACACTCAAACCACTACACCACACTGGTGTCCCAAACACAACAAATCTGTTACAGGATTTTCTTAGCAAGATTTGTTCAGAGGGGGTTGCCTTTGACATCCCCAAGAGTGTGACTTGCCCAAAGTCAGCCAGTGGGTTTCTAGCCCAAGCAAGGAATTGAACCCTGGTCTCCTGAATCATAGTCCAACATTCAAACCACTACACCACACTGGCTTTTTTTGGCCATACAGCAAAATACAGCAACACCCAAAATCCACAATTCAGCCACTGGTGTTAAGGCTACATCTGCATTGCAGAAATAATCCAGTTTGGTACCGCTTTAACTGCCAGGGCTGAATGCTATAGGATCCTGCGATTTGTAGGTTGGTGAGATATTTAGCTGGAGAGCTCTAGTGTCATAATAAACCACAATTCCCAGGATTCCCTAGCACTGAGACAGGGCAGTTAAAGTGGTCTCAGACAGAATTATTTCTGCAGCGTGTTTTGGACCGGAGATAGATTGTGCTGATAAGAGAGCGTATCTCTGTTCTCCACTAAGCTATGATAAAAATATATATTTCCCATGATGAATTTGGGACTTGGTCTCTAAAAGGTTCACCATCACTGGTTTAAGTGATAAATCATAATGAGCACAAGCCATGGCTTTGGGGATGTGTGAAGTGGATACTGACTTAAACTACCCACTTTAAGGGGCTAAGCAGACGAGCGGCCATGGGCCGCCCTGGGAAGCTGCACCGCCCCTGAAAGGAGCGCTAAATCAGCGCTCCTTTCACAAGTCACCGAAAGTGCACCGCAAAAGGTTGTGGTGCACTTTCGGCGACTTTTCCGCCGCAGTGTTTGTGAATGCTGCGGCGGGAGGTCCTCCTCAGAGCGCCGGCCGTGTGGAGGGCCAGCTGCTCCAAGGACAACCCCCTTCCCTGCCCCGAAGACGGCCTTTTAAGCCGTCTGCTTATGCCCTTAGTCTTTAATTTAATAGTGATTTCCTCTTCTCAGGGAAACTTGAGAACTATAGATCTATGAGCTTTAGAAGTATCCTTCTGCCTCAAGTGTGTTGCGTAATGATTATGTTAATGCTAATTTATTGGCAATCTTCCCTCCAATTGGCCAGTAGTCTCTGTGGTCTGATTTGCTCCAAATAATCTAAACTGTATCAAATTTAAAATATGAGATGTTTTTTACATTATAATTTTACAATTTCAATAAAAAATAGAAAAAAAGTGCATTGCCTAATGCATTTGCTCTTCCCCTCTGCTCTGGGATTCAGGAAGAGTTTGAGGTCTACTCAGTAGCCTGTCCCTGCCGAACATCAGAGGAGCCTCCAAAAGATTTTCCTAGGAGTAGCAGGCAAGATTCACCCCCATAGCACAGGGCACGTTTCTTGGAGGGGAACAGCAAATGTGCCTCTCCGCATGATGTCGTAACACTTCTGTTCTCTTCTCCAAGGAGACAACTGTAAAAGCATGCCTTTTGCCATGCTGGAAAAAATCTATTTGACAAAAGGCACAGTTTTACAAACATCTCCCTCCGGAAGGAAAACAAAAATGCTCCGAGGGCAAGCAGAGAGGCACAGAGAAAGCCAGTACTTTCCCATTCTGTTTCATATTTCTTTTCTCATGGGATAAGGCTCTCAGACAAAAGTTAGCTAGTTTACACTCAGAAATATATGTACATGTTAGCTATTCTCTTTGTTCTACTAACGTGAACTGTGTTGTGTCAGATGCGGGGACTTTCCCGATATCACCCTCCCACTTGAAATGTTGGTCAAGTGAAGAAGTATCCTTTTCATAAAAGAGGCACTGCAAGACATCGGCAGATAAGATACTGAAATTTAAAAAGCTGGATCAGCTTGTGGAAGAAGGCTATACTTGTGGATGGTTGCTTTATAAACAGCTTAAAGAAATATTTTTAGTTGATGTTAAAGAAAAAGATATAGGAGCCAGGCACATTAAATTCGAAGAGATTTTGAAATCGGATAACCCACATAAAATTGCCTTATTCTGTAAATGCTTGTTAGAACTTGAATTGGAGGAAGAGGTTATCAAAGAGCCAATGATTAAGTGGGCCAAGACTTTAAACGAAATGTCAGGTTAGATCAATGGAAAAAAACATGGAATAGAAGATTAAAATTTACTGCCTGTTATGAGTTGAGGGAAAATTTCTTTAAAATGCAATATAGATCGTATTTGACGCCAACCAAATTAGCTAAAATATATATAGGACTTTTAAATAAATGTTAGAAATGTAAGCAAGAGGTAGGTTCCTTTTACCATATCTGGTGGAAATGTAAATGTGGAAAAAAAAATTGGGCTAAAATTCATGGGACAGTAAAGAAAATCTTGCAAATTCAGCTACCAAAAGATCCTAAACTTTATCTACTAAGTATATGTGATAATGACAAAATTGAATATAAATATGGAAAACTTTTGTTCTATATTACCACTAGCGCTAGGATAATATACGCTTGTAAGTGGAAAGCTGCAAATTTCCCCTCTGTGGAAGAATGGCTATGGAAATTAGTGGATTTAGTTCAGACGGATAAGCTTACTATTCTCCTAAGAGGCCAAGACTGGGAAAAATATGGCGAGATCTGGAAACCACTATATGAATATTTAAATTAAAAAAAGGTTAGAGAGGATGGTTAAGACCCATAAGATAACATTAGAGGATAAAGTTTTCAACTACATTGAAGGATGCAAAATAGAAAACGTAAAGAAAGAAGTGGTATTGGATTATATTAATTTATGCTATGATATAGATTTGCTTTTTGTTAAACTGATATACTGTAATAGCCTATAACTGGAAAAACATAAGCACAGAATGGCAATAAAGAAGTTATAATTTATGACTTGGTCAGAGTTCAGGAAGTCATAATTAAAGTTGATGATGGTGAAATGTTAGAGTTCTCATTTGTTAACTTGATTATAGGTGTGTCATCATTTGTGAAGTTACATGTTTTTATGTGTCTATATTAATGTTAGTGTTATTGTATTTTTTGTCGATGTATATATGGATATGTCTTGCTTATATTAGCTTAATAAAATACTTTAAAAAAATAAAATAAAAGGCACTGCAACTTCATGCAAGTTCCTTCCTCCAGTGTTGTACCACCATGTGAGTAGACCACTGAGTAAGTAGATGTTCTTGAGCATTAAGTGGCTGAAATATTGCATGATGAGACTATCCAAATAGATGTCCTTTTTCTCACCTTTAGTACTGCTACCTCATGCTAAGTCAGATCACTAGTCTATTTAGCTGGGTGCTCTCTGTATCAACTGGCAGTGGCTCTCCAGGGCTGTAGATGCAACTCATGTGTAGCCCTATCTTGAGAGCCTAAGTGTTGAACCTGGGACTTTCTGCATGAAAAGCCACTGAGCTCCTCCTCTACTTCAGATGATCCCAGACATTTAGCCATGGCATCAGGAGAGCAGAGAGAGACACACACAGAGAAATAAGGGGGAAATCTGTACATTTGGGAAATGTGCAATGTGAAACAGGAAGTTACAAAGATAGCTGGTGGCAATTACTGTTATAACAAAAGCACAACCACTATGAAACTTGCAAATGTGGAACATTTTGATTCTTCAGAGAAGGGAAAAATCAAAGATAGCGATCAACTGTGATCCTCCCAGACTTTGGAAAATTTATTTCTGACCATAAATAAATAAATAAATAAATAAATAAATAAATAAATGTTCAAGAATCTCCCAGCTGGCATGACTCCATGCTGGCTGGGGGATTCTAGGTGATGTAGTCAAAAAGGTATCTTCTGCAAGGTCTGTTCCCCCCATCCCAAATGTTTAGGAACAAACAGCTCACAGATGGGTGAAGGAAGCCTATAATCTACCTGTTAATGGCTGTGAGCCACCTCTGATTGCCACCTTCCTGGCCCGAGCCCCCACATTGACAATGTGAAATGTTAAGATTTTAAAGAGCTTTTATTTTTAAAGTGTGAATCATATTCATAAACGTCATCTGTCAGATCAAAGCACTGCAAATAAAAACAAGAATGATGGAATGCCATTGATTTCTTGCCAAAGAGAGGGGAGAAAAAACCCTGAAAACAAAACCCAAAACTTTGGGAAACTTGAAAAAGAAGTGTTTCACCACAACTCTAATTCATATGGATCACCCCACAAATCCTGACAGCTCCATAGCAGTCTGCTGCCAAATGGAAGCTTTTGGGAGGAAAGAAGAATCTAGTGCAGCGTGTCACCATGATGTGTTACCTCTCCCGCAAGGAGATCCGAGCAAGACAGCTATCACTGCCTGTCTAGCAAACTGATTAATAAAGTGCCATGGTTGTCAGAGACAGGACTAGCTGCCTGGTATTCTGGTTCAATTATGCTAGAGGAAAAGATCAGTCCTAAGCAAAAAGTTGTCTAAGAATGCTAGGGATGTTGTGGGGCAGGGGGAATCCTATGCCTTTATTTTTCTACATGATTCCTACAAGCTGGCATTCTATATTCAAGACAATCTGCAATGGCCAATATTACTACTGCTGCTGCTACTGGCTGTAGTTTATTATATAATGTTATTTATGCACATGTTGCTTTATAAAGAATGAGAATAAAGGCCCTTGCCTCACAGAACTTATACCTAGACGAGGTAGACGCAATACTGACAAGAGGAAAGGAGAAGTGAAATGGAGGCAACGACAAACAGGAAAAGATTGTGTATATTTTAGTTAAGTCCACTATGCGCTCTTTTCCTGCTACATATTAGAACAATTCTAGAATACCTGCTTCAAGGCTCACATTTATCTTAACTATTTAAGTCATTCACTGTTTCACAGTTAAAAGTGGAGATGCTTCACCAACCAGTGTGATGCAGATATGAATCACTGTTGCACATTATAATATCAGGTAGCTTTGCAGCCTATTCCATCCTCTCAGCAGGTAGCTTATAGAGGAAATACTGATCCAGTTTAGAAAACCAATAAAAGCTTTATTTGTCAACTCCTTCTCATACAAAACCAGATCTCTCTCCGTAACTCTTTGTCCAAGCCTCTCTCCAGAAAACAGTGCCTCCTCCCTCTTATCTTCTCTGCCCATAAACCATTCTTCAGTTTCTGGGATCTCCCTGGCCTTCAGGGCCCATCATTCCACATGCACCTCTTCTCTCCAAAGCTACCAAATCTCCAAAGGTTACTGATGACATTTTACCCAATGGACTGTACACTATAGGATTTTTTGTCTGTTAATATAATTTTACTT